AGGACTGGGTCGCCGTCGGAGGGTCCAGATGGAATAGAATAAACTATGCTTAAAAAAAAAAAAAAAAAAAGAAAGAAAAAGCTGCTCATTTCCACTGCCTGCGGATGCCATTAGCAAGGTTTTGTAAAGATTTATTATCTCGGTAAATCACACGTATTCATTTGAAGTAGAGATAAATTAGCATCCCTATTTCTTTATAAAAATAATAAGAACAGGAAGGAAAAGCCCTGTTGACTAAACAAACATCACTGTCAAGAAAATGGTAGTGGAAATAATGCTGAGGCTGTTTCACTATAGAAAGAAAAACCAGGATTTTGGCAAACACGAGGTAGCGGAATTGCGCTTTGAAATGCAAACAAACGGAACCATGTCCAAATTGGAGAGAGGGGGAAAAAATCAGGGCATTTTCGAGCACCAACTACTTATTCATTTCTCCAGAAGACTCAAATTCAAGTAGCCCTTATTTCGAAGAAATAGGGGAAGGAAGGATTTGCGCCAACACACACGCGGTTTATATGCAAGCTGAAAAATATTCTCCAACGTGAAAACGGTTGTATGTTTCCAAAGGAAATATGATTTTTTTTTCCCCCGCTCTTCTCATTAAATATTCCTTCTAAAACATAAATCTGTGGGTTTTTTTTTCCAACGATCCTGCTAGTAGTTTAGTTCTGCTCTTCACATTTTAAGTTCACATCAAAACTGGAATTAAACAGATATTCAGCGTGGAGAGTAAACTGCTGCTTAAATGAGAAAAACTTCTGTAGGAAAATAAACATTGAAACCTAATGCTCAATCATTTCCCTTTGCAGCAAGAAAAACAGCATTAAATCACCTATCCACGTGGGAAACTGATTTTTTTTTTCCTGTTGATCTCTTCCCCCTTTAAAATAAAACAAGGTTAAGGGTTTCAATATTGAAATGTTAACCATCCTGATTCGGCGAAAGTTTATGTAAACGGGGTCTCTGCTTTTGTCTCGAAAAGCAAACGCCTCTCTACACCAAAACGATCCCTTCCCACTAGGACAGACTGCAAACCCTCCTTTTGCATCTCTGGTCGCGGATAGGAGAATAGGACCTTTAAAATATTCCTAACTAAAAAATAAAAACAAAACCCAAACAAAAATTATATATTGTGCCACCTGGGTTTTTTGTTTGGGTTTTATTAATTTTCTTTTCTCCCTTCCCGTCTGGATACTGCCGAAGGTCAGTGAAGAATTACCCCGCTATAGTAACAGTGATCGCATCGTTTTTGGTGGAAAAGTCTTTTAGTCCTTTGACACCCCGGAGATTTTTCTTCCTATTTTTTGCGTCCACGTTACTTACATTAGCGATTTAAATTAAAATATTTGTATTTATTTATAATGAACGTTAAATCAGGAGTTAATTAATTAATTCTGCTTTTAAAAAAAAACAAACAAACAACCCTTAAATCTCTTCCTTAATGTCCTCAGAAAATTAGCAGATAATCACTCTTTCCAAAGCTGTCTGATCACCGAAAAGCAGTATAGGTCTTATACGCTTTCTCCTTCTGGAAAGAAGTGTTTTAGTAATGAAACGATGCAAGAAACCTACGTCTTGCTCTTGTGTCCTTGGCAGGTTTAATCTGCTGAAGACCTAATGAAGTGAAATTAGGGGCGGAAAGAGCAACCCTAGCGTTTCAATAACTTGTGAGAATTGCACAACCATTACGAGAGAAAGCCCGTAGAAAAATTTCTGTCCCGTTTGTCAAGTTTGTCCAGTGCCACTGCCTTATGTTTAGATGTCTGGGGGTGAGAAGGAAACCCCACGTGCTTATTTAGTGTGTGACTCTCCTGGCGTTTCACTCCCAGAAAACTCTTGTTTCCAGAATGAACCCGAAATCTACCCACCTTCTTTCTCTATAGGGACCTTTCAGACACAAAAATATGCAGACAAGCGCACACCGATTCTCTCCGCCCTGTCCCCAGCCCCGCGTGTGCGCGGCGATGAGGAGTGTATATCTTTCTGTACGTGATTATTTACAACCAACTCTATGTAAGCACTCCATGGGCAGATGGAAATTCGCTCTTGTACCGGGGAGAGGGGATATGAGTTACTCTGAAAGTGCAGCTCGCTCTTACGGAGACAACGTTTCTCTACCCTGACTCCTCCAAGATCTCTTTAAATGTACGACCGGGCTCCCGAGCCTCCTACCACCCATCTCCAGTGTTTCGGCCAACTCATCGGGTCTGTCCCTATGCATGTATCGCTTTCCTCCCCAGGGAAATACAAGCGAGAGGAGCCCCATCACATCCATCCAACATCCCTGCCCTGCCTCCTCAGTTCAGAAAGAATTGTCCTTTCCGTGCGTCATTTCCCTGGCTGCTACTACCTGTTCTCCTTTCCCAGAGAAGCGATGACTTTTTTTTTTTGTTTTATTCCTCTGGGTGGGGGCACTGGAAAATCAGTATTGCCCCTCGCTTCCTTGCCTCCCTACACTCATACCAGCCTGACACGCACAAGCACACCCGCAGCGGGAGCCCAAGCTGCGCGTTCCCGGAGTCCCGGGGAAAATCACCCGGGCTCGGCTCCGGCCCGGCCAGGCACAGGCGCAGCGCCGGGGCCGCTCGTGGGCTCCTCGCTCGTGTTTAATAGCGTCCCGGGAGAGTGCAGGGAAACCCGCGGGGCCGGGGCCGAGCCGGGCCCGCTCTCAGCTCCCCGCCTCCTCGGAAGTACGTAGGAGGGAGAGGGAGCCGGCGTGGGACCGCGGGGAAGCCTCCCGGCTCCGCGCCACGTTGCATCTCCCGCTCTCGGGCCTTTGTGCCCCGCTCGCAGGGATGCGCGGCCCGGAGGATGCGGGCGCGGCAGTCCCCCGTGGGTCTACAGCCCGCTCGGCGCTGGGCCTCCCGCGGCAGCGCCTCGGAGGGGCGAGCCCTTCCGAGCCTGCTCCCTGCCTTTCTTTCCAATGCGCAGTTTGCCCTTAATGAGGCTGCGAAGGTTCCGCTGCCCCCCGAGCCCCGCTCAGCCGCCCCCGCTGCCTCCGCACTCAAATTAGCATCTGCTGCGGCCGGCAGCGGCCCCGGCCCCGGCGCGCTTCGCCGCACGGTTCCCCAGGGCATTCAGGCATCCTGCGCGGCCACCGAGGGACCGGGATCAGCTATTCTTCTCTTCCCGTGATTACTCACAGCCTACAAGCAACACCATATGCTTCTTCTGATCAAACAACCCGCTACATAGGCACCAGTAATTGACGAGACCTGCTCGAAATCACGCAGAAAGGTAGCCTACTGAGACCGCAGGAGTTGACAAATCATTGCTAATAATCCTTTTAGGAACATCATGGGCATCAGGGTTTGCAATAGCTTTATTTTTATAAAGTATGCGCTGACAGCATAAAGGACAACTCCGTCTCCTTTGAAACAGGGGATTGTCCCGCATAATGATCTTCAAGGTGGCAGAGCAAATAGAAGAAGAAAGTGGATTGATGAAGACTTTAATTATTATTTTTAAAGGTTTCATTTAACCCTTTCTTTGGTTATAAGTGACTCGATGATATGGAAAGTTATTTCAAGAAATCACTGTAAAATGCACTGGATTGAAAATTACTGCAGTGGACTTTAGGTATAAAGGTTCATCTGTAACCTGGGGCTGGGAAGGGGGTGTGAGATTACCTCCCCCATCCAAATGACTGCCACATTGTGCATTTATTTTAAAAAGTAGAAGTAGTACCAGTAGCCCACATATTTAACTGGAGGAAAAAATTATAAACCTCTCAAATCACCAAATCAGACAAAACTAAAGCAAAACAAAACTAGGCCATATACATGCTCATAATTTTTAAAAAAATATAGGCCAACCGAGTCGAGATACAGCTACAGAAAACTCATGGGGACATATTACATTGTTTTCTATGTACACTCACTTTTCGACAAAACATGCAGCGAATTTTATATTAGGTCGGGGAAAAAAAACCCCAAAAACCTCTTGGTACCTTTTCTTTCACGCAGATCATAACTTCATCGAGTTGATCTAAATAAAAGGTTCGTGATTTTTTTTTTTTTTTAGTTTTTTTCCCCTACATCTTATAAAATCAATAGAGCGAGAACATGGAAGAACTTTATTCTGACTCTCCTAACTTTGTTCTGTTTATTTTTCTTGGCAGCAGATCTAGAAGACCAAAGACAATCGCTTTAGATCCTGATACTATTTAAAAGCAAGAGACACTTCAGGACGCTAAAGTTTTCTTTTGCTAGACAGGCGGGCTGTTGCTGCCGTGGAAGTCAACGTGAAGTTTACTGTTGCCTGTCGAGGAGAGTCATGTCTAGGCTGGTTTTGCAGCACTGGGTGGTCAGCGGGATTGAATACGTCTGGGTGCAAAACTCCTGCTAAAATTTTCCTAGGTCGATTAACGCCCTCAAAGTGCCCTAGTGATCCTCAGAACGAGACACAACGCACTCACACACATGATGTGACTCACTGTGCTCGACTTATTTATTTAGCCTGGGTGTGAGCACGCCTGCACGCGTGTCCTGTACCTGTACACCGCACCTTTCCTCGAGAGCCGAACTAAGGCTTTAGGACTTTGCATAGACTTATGTAAATATTTACCCATATACTAATTCGCCCTCAGAGAATTACTATAAATAGGGGTGAATCATGCCCTCTTAGGCCTTGCGTGCGCTTGGTGGGGGATGAACATTTGACTGGAAGACTGGGGGAAAAGGAAACCCGGGTTTGCTGTAGCAGAACACGCAGCAGAGCTCAGTGCCTTCAAGTGTTGACAAAAGCACCATAAGTCTCCAACCAAACCTGTCTAGGAGCTAAAGGCAAAGTATTTACAACAGAGGAAAGTGACAGCGGAGGGCACCCTGTCTCTAAGCACACTCCGAAGGATTGACCTTTTCCTTTTTTTTTTATTTTCTTTTTTTTTCCTTTTTCTTTTCTTTTCTTTTCTTTTCTTTTTTTTTTCTTTTTCACCGTAAAAATGATAAATGACATCTGGATCAGAACGAAAATAGAGACGAATAGGCATTCTCACCTACCTTCTGGAAAAACCACTCTCATTTTTAAATAGCTGGTAGTGAGTCTGATTATGGATGCTTTGTCCAGCTGAGAGGTGATAGCAGAGGGCAGGGGTAGTAATTTAGCCAGTTCATAAAATTCACTGTTTTCTTTCTCCCGTCTAGTCCGGGCAGCATTTTTGGACTTCTCTTTCATCGTGTTTTTTTCCCGCTTCCTTGCTACAATTTAAACTCCAGAGATTCATCCAAAGGTGGAAGGGAAACTTATCTGCAATTCATCTCTCCGGAGCATCAGGCTGTGATTCTGAGTGCGGCCATTACTCAGAAAAACCGTTCTGTTGTGTAAATGCAAACAAGCATTGAAGAGTAAAGATGTTCTTAAAAAAATAATAAAAAGAAAGAAAAAAAAAAAGAAAAAAAAGTAAATATACTCTGAAAAGCAGAGTCAATTAGATGGGGAAGGCATTTATCCAATGCAGTTCAGCACTCCAAGCAACTGCATTAAAAAAAAAAAAAAATAAAAAAAAAAAGCTAGAAGATTGAGGCACCAGACAGCAACCAAACGATGTATTTCTGGCTTTTTTTCCTATTCATGGCGGACAGCATAGCTCCTCGGAAGAGGGTCATAGTAATCCCGTTTTTTTCCGTGATCCGTTGTCAATCCGAGGGCCGAAGCGCCCGGCCGCGGGCTGCCTCCCAGGACGCTGGGTGACTTCCCCGGAGCCTCTCTCTGTGAAGACAAGAGCAGTCCTGGAGTGAGAGAGTCGGTACACGGCGCCGCAGCGGAGCCGCGAGAAATAATAATCAACAACCAGCCGCCGGCGGGTGTAGTATTTTCTCCCACCAGAGGGGAAAGAAAAAAAAAAGTGTATTTTCCCATCT